AGAGTGAGAGAGGAGAGAGAATTTTTAATATTTATTTTTTAGTTTTCGGCGGACACAACATCTTTGTATGTGGTGCTGAGGATCGAACCCGGGCCACACGAATGCCAGGCGAGTGTGCTACGGCTTGAGCCACATCCCCAGCCCCTCGACAGATTTTCTTGTTAGTATTTCCCCAGCTTGGATTTTGCTTCATGCATCCCTGTGGGATCATTTCATGTGTTCCTCAATGTCTGTGTTTCCTGTAAGGAGGCAAAGAGATCAAGAACAGGGTTGGCAAATTATGCTCTGTCTTTATTTATTTTTTTTAATTTAAATAGGATTTTATTAGGATGTAGTTACATCCATTTGTTTAGCCTTTTTCTAGAGCTATATTTTTGTGGTCAAATATCAGAATTGAATTGTGACCAGATAAGCAGCAAGGTTTAAGGTCTTTATTACTTATCCCTAGAAGATTTGTCGGCCTCTGCTCTAAAGGCTTGATCACATTCATGCAAGGTTTGGGGGTTTGATTTCTTCCTATTTAATTGCGTCGATTCCATCAGGACGCTCATGTTGTCTGACTGTTGTTCTTTCGGTCATATCATCAGGTCAATTAATTCATGGTACAAAATGGTGATATCCTGAATTCCTCCTTCATTCCTTTTCCGTTTTCCTCTCTATGATGCTATGTAGAGAGAAATTTCCTCTCATCTGTCTCTGAGGCTCAGATCTTCAGGAAAGACAGAATGAGTGCTTGATTGTTTTCTCTTTAACAGTTTTCAAAATAATGAGTTGATTTGCTAACATCTGCTGAAGATTATTGCTGAGGTGTTTTACTTATTTAAATAATATCATTATGGGCCAGGTACCCTGGAGCACACCTATAATCCTAGCGGCCCAGGAGGCTGAGGCAGGGGGATCTCAAGTTAAAAGCCAGTCTCAGCAATGGTGAGGTGCTAAGCATCTCAATGAGACCCTGTCTCTAAATCAAATATAAAATAGGGTTGAGGATGTGGTTCAGTGATTGAGTGTCTCTGAATTCAGTACCCAGTTGTGCCCCCCCGCAAAAAAATCATCTGTTGTTTATCAATCCTCTGCAATTATTTTCATTTTGGAGCCTCCAATTTTTTTTTACTTTGATCAAGGATAGTGTCTTCCAGTTTCTTTGACAAGACTTCCTTGATTTGTGATGCTAGAAATTAGCCTCAGTACATATTGTACATTTTATGCCCAGAATCGGCTATTCATCTTTTCAAGAATGCCATTTCCTTTCAGTGGAAAATAGTATTTAGAAACCATAGTCTAGGTACTAGCGGTGCTCACTGAAGGTCTGGCCGTTGTTTTTAACCTAAAAACAGTTGACAGAATGAGAAAATATAGTTAACTAGTTTGTTTTCAGATCAGATACATCAAAAATGCATACTGAAACTTAGGAATTTTTTGAAACAAATCCAGAATCCTGGCCAGGGGATATAGCTCGTGATGGAGTGCTTCCCTAGCACACAGGAGGAGAGTTTGATCCCCAGCATCCTCAAAAAGAAGAAATAGAAAAGAAGATCCAGAATTATGGGTTTTTAATGTAACCCCTTCTGTCTTTCATTTGCATCTCCTTCCTGGCCCTCGGCAACGCCAACATGATTCTCTTGCTTTGTGTCACACTATTGTCCGGCAGTCTCAATAATGTCAAAGTCACCAATAACTATGTGATGATTAAATACAGACAGACTCTTTTGAAAAATCAGATAGGACCTTCTGTAAATGAAGGTGGAAAGGAACCCAGTAGGAAAGGTCTTTGCTGACCCGTCACTCCCTGGCAGTTTGCATTACAGCTGGAACTTTTCATTCTAAATTCCGATGGTCAGGACTTTGTTCTTCAGTGTGATAGACTTTTAAAGTTAGAGTCCTTGCAGTCTGGGAGTTTCCACATGTCTACAGAGTGGAAGAGGTGCAAGGTTATAGCAGTGGAGGCCATCAGAATGTCAGGCTGGTGACCCAAGCCAACTCTAGGCTTCTGTTTCCCTCCCTGATATACATGAGGATAAAGAAAGGAAGGAGAGAATCTTGCACAAGTTAAGTCACCTCTCTGAATCATTTCCTTTTTTTTTTTTAAGTTGTTGTTGGGCCTTTATTTATTTATTTATTTATTTATTTATATGAGGTGCTGAGAATCGAACCCAGGAAGGCACACATGCTAGGAAAGCTCTCTACCAGTGAGCTATACCCCCAGCCTTCTCATTTCCTTTGTTGTTGTTGTTGTTGTTGGTACCAAGGATTGAATTCAGGGGTACTCAACCACTGAACCACATCCCCAGCCCTATTTTGTATTTTATTTAGAGACAGGGTCTCACTGAGTTGCACAGCACCTCACTTTTGCTGAGGTTGACTATGAACTCTGGATCCTCCTGACTCAGAACTCTGGATCCTCCTGTCTCAGCCTCCAGAGCCACTAGGATTATAAGTGAGCGCCACTGGCTTTGAGTCATTTCCTTTTACATTAAAAAAGGGAGCAGAGGAATTGGATTATATTGCCCACAGCAGCTTTTTTTTTCTTTTCTCCAAACACATCTGCCCCAGGGCCTTTGCAATTGTGGTTTACTAGGCCTGGAATTCTCTTGCTCCGGCTCTTTCATCATTCAAGTCTTGAGTTTAATATTACTTCCTTAGAGAAGGCCTCCCTGAGCACATAATCGGAATATTCCCTTATTACATTAGTCTTTTCTTTTGGCAGTGCTGGGGGTGGAAGCCATGGCCACATGCATACTAGGCAAGCATGTTAGCACCAAGCTACATCCCCAGCCCTATTCTTCATGGTGGTATTACCTATCTAATCCATTTGACTTGTTTTTATTTATTTTATCCCTTCTTTTCAGAATGTCAATTTGGCAAGAGTAGGGTCCTTGACTTTCTCTGATGTAATCCCAAGAACTAAAACAGTGGCTGGTGCCTAATGACTGCTGAATAGCAATGGCCGTTGGATGAATGCATGCCTAAATGAGCGAATGACAAAGTCATCACCAAAATCCTCTTTAGTTTAAGGATATGCCAAGGATATGCTCTTAATACAGTGAGTGCAGACTCACGGACATGACAGTTCAAAGTTACAGGTAATGAAATTGAGGCAGCCAGTGACTACCCTGATCCTCTCTGTGGGTTTTTTGTTGTTTTATTTTGTGCCAAGGATTGAACCCAGGGGTGCTTAACACCGAGACACATCCCAGCCCCTTTTTAATATTTTATTTAGATACAGGGTCTCCACCGAGTTGCTTTGGGTCTCGCTAAGTAGTTGAGGCTGACTTTGAACCCATGATTCTCCTGCCTCAGCCTCCTGAGCTGCTGGGATTACAGGTATGCACCACCATGCCCAGCTCCTCACTGTGCTGGCTTCGTGCACTCCACTGTCCACTAGCTTCCAAGAGCTGTGGGAACTGGACGAGTCCCTTCCCCCTCTGGGGACTCTAGTTTGCCATCAAAAGAGAAGACAGCCAAATAGCTCTGGTCTAGGGTTACCGTGAGATCAGGCGAGCTGACCAGCTCCAAGCACCTGCAGGGTGCTGGTGGGTTCTACACCCCAGGTCCTTCCCTGGGGAGCTGAGGGGGCGGGGTGCGGAAGGAGCCCGGTCCGGGGCTGGGGGGGAGGGGGCGGAGCCAGCTGGTTGTTTACTCACCTGGGTCCCTGCTCTGCCCCCGAGCTGCAGCAGCTCTCTTAAAGGCACCCAGCAGAGCAGCTGGAGGAAAACCAGCTTGGTAACCCGAGAGCCCCTGGGCCAGGAGGCAGCTGGGCGGTCTGGACAGTAGCTAAGCCCTCTGTGGCTACACTGCGACCCCCACGGCCTGGTGGTCACTCCCGTCCTGAAAGATAACTTTCTTCAGGGAGATCTCCCACGTCTAGCTGCCCTGGCAGACTCCCAGGGAGGAAAGACAGCATGGCCTTGGCAGCTGCCCCCAGGAAGGCGCCCACAGGTGACAGGAAGAAGCCATTTCCCCATCCTGACCCGATTCAGCAACCCTGGTGAGTCCGGATCCTCTGGGCTTCTTGAACCTCAGGGTGGTGGGGTGTGGTGGAAAGATGCCTTCCCCGAGGGGGAGAAACCTTGGCTGCCGCTGCTGGCCCTGCTGTGTGACCTTGATCCAGTCACTCCAGTTCTCTGAGCCTTTGGGTTTTCCCATCGGGGATAATGAGGAGCTCGAATTCCCACGTCTGCTTTCCTTTTAAAGAGTTTTCTCCTGTCACACCCCCTGTTTTGAATGGTGTTTGCCTGCCAAGTCGTACCTGTTGCATAATAGAGCCGTTAATTGATTTTCCCCTTCTCGGTTCACTGTGGCCCTCTGGTAGCCTATCAGTGTTCTCTGGTCAGCGAGATCAAACCGCTGAGCTGATGTAAGTTTAGCCCAAAGCAGAGAAATGTGGTGTTTTAGTGCGTCTGTGAGATCTTATCGGGAGTCAGTATTTGGTTTGCATTTGACCTTCCGAAATCTGAGAAATAGAGCACTTGTGAGTAATGCTCAGAGAATGGGGACCCCAGGTGGGAAACCCCTATATGTTGCCTGCTCAGGGTTTGGGGGACCACAGGCAGAAATACTACCTTCACACCCCAGGCTTGGCTTTAGTCTCCTCGATGCTGCCTCAAGAGGAAGGTGTTTTTTGTTTATTTTGTTTTCTTGTTTTGGGTAAATGGGTGACCTTGATCAAGTCGACCTCTGAGTCACATCCTCAGCTCTATTTGTATTCTATTTGGAGACAGGGTCTCACTGAGCTGCTTAGAGCCTTGCTGTTGCTGAAGCTGGCTTTGATCCTCCTGCCTCAACCTCCCCTGTGGCTGGGATTTCAGGCACGTGCGCCACCGGGCAGGAGATCAGTTGTTAAAGTGAAGTCCTTGAACTTTTAAACTTGCTACGTGTAACTGAACTGTTCCCACGCTGGGTTCACCCCAGCCCTGCAGGAGGCTGGGCAACTCTGGATGGGGGAACTGAGGGCTCCCTCCGGCTTCTGCTAGAGTGTGGCCCTGAGGATACAGGAGCAGGTAGACGTGCGTGTGCTGCCTGCAGACCAGGGATACGGGGAGGCTCCGCTGGGCTGGGAATCGGGATTCAGGCCTGCGGTCTGGAGCTCTTGGACCTCAAGCAAGTTGCCCAACCTCTCGGCGATATGAGAATTGTGATCTTGGCAATGATCTCTGTGATACTAATTATTATCTGTAATAATTACTAATAATTACATGATAAAAAATTCGTCTGATGACCATGGAACTGTGGCTTGGCTGCTCGTTGTTTAAATCCTTTTTTTTTTTTTTGAAATGCCATTTATAGGTGTTTTGTTTTTTTTTTTTTGGTACCAGAGATTGAACTCAAGTGCACGCACCACTGAGCCAGATCCCCAGCCCTATTTTGTATTTTATTTAGAGACAGGGTCTCACTGGGTTGCTTAGGGCCTCCCTGTTGCTGAAGCTGGCTCTGAACTCTCAATCCTCCCCGCTTAGCCTCCGCAGGACCCAGCTCTATAGGTACTTTAATTTTTTTTTGTTGTTGTTGTTATAGACGGACTCAACATCTTTATTTATTTTTATGTGGAGCTGAGGACTGAACCCCATGCCTCACACGTGTGAGGAAGGCGCTCGACCACTGAGCTATAGCCCCAGCCCCCTCTATAGGTGCTTTTAAAATGTAAAACTGTGGGGCTGGGGTTGTGGGCCAGTGGTAGAGCGTTCCCCTAACATGCATGGGGCACTGGGTTCGATCCTTAGCACCACATAAAAATAAGATATTGAGTCCACCTAAAACTAAAATATAAATTAAAAAAAAATGTAAAACTGTATGAACAAAAAGAATGGGAAAGGTAGCTCCCCAAGTCATGGTACGTTCCCATGAGTATTGGGACAAACACTGGGTGCCTGCAGATGGCCTTGGTGCTGGAGGCAGTGCAGTTCGGAGGTTGGAACAGGCCCTTTGAGTCAGATGCTCTCAGGTTCAGGGAGACCTGCTGGTGAACTTGGGTGTGAGTCATTTTCCTCAAAGCCCCTTCTCCTCAGTCACTTGAGTTGACTGCCTGCCTGTCTTCCCCTGCATCGCAGGGAGTTCTGGATTATGGCAGCTCCTTCCCTCTCAGGGAAGGTGATGGGAAATGAGACTGCGTGAAAGCCAGAACAGTGCCCAAGAACAGGGAACCTAATAATTATTATCTGTAATAATTGCTAATTTGGGGGTGCTCCATGTGTTTGAGTATTGTGTGCGTGGACACACAGGTGCACATGATCACATGAAATTTAAAAATCCTCAGAGCCCTGAAGGGTCGTGTTAGCCCGTCCCCTGCTCTGAGGCTAGCCTCTTTTCTAACTCACACTGGAAAATTGTAGCTGCACCCCAGGGAAGGCTCCTAAACAATTTTCCTTAGTAACCAGCCTTGGCATCTCAAGACCCTCCCAGGGGGATGCAGAGTGTGTGTGAGTGCCTCGAGCACCTGCGTGACAGTTCCAGGTACACCAAGTACCCAAACCTTGGAGGAAAATAGGTTTAAGCTGGATGGACTGAGTGCAGTGGGGGCTGGGTTTCCTCCCATCACTGAGGCATAAGGGCACTTACAGGAGCAGCTATGTCAGGAAGCACTTACTGTGTGCTAACAGTTGTGCTGAGTGTGTGAAGCTCATCGTGGTAGCATTTAATCCTCACAGTGGCCAGTGCATTATTCCATTTGACAGGTGAGAGTACTGAGGCTCAGAACTACAGATCTTGAAACTGGGGGTGGGACTCAGTAGTAGAGTGCATGCTCAGCATGTCCGAGGCCCTAGGTCCCACCTCCAGCACCAAAGAGGAAATAAAGAAAAGCTACGGATTTTAAACAAGCTCATGCAGACAACAGGTGGCTGATGGGCAACTCAGATCTTTGTCTATCTAAATCCACGGCCAGGGCTCTTTTCCATTCCACCAGAAGTTGTAAATTGAGCTAAATACCGCAGTCCTCAGGTATGTTTTGTCTAGCCTATAGAATTTTTTTTTTTGATTGTTGCTTGTCCTTAATATTTTAAGATTTTTAAATGCCAGTGTTCAAATATGGAATTATTTAATATAAAAACCTAGATCCTAAGTTCTTTTAAAATCAGAAATAAAAGTTGGGTACAGTGGTGCACACCTGTAATCCCAGTGGCCCTGGAGGCTGAGGCAGGAGGATCTCGAGTTCAAAGCCAGCCTCAGCAACTTAGTGAGGCAACTCACTGAGACCATGTCTCTAAATAAATAGGGCTGAGGATGTGGCTCAGTGATCGAGTGCCCCTGAGTTCAATCCCTGGCACCAAAATAAATAAATAAATAAGTAGGGCTGGGGATGCAACTCAATGGTAGAGTGCTTGCCTATCATGTGTGAGGCCCTGAGTTCCATTCCCTAGTACCATAAAACAAACAAATAAATAACCAGAAGGAAGATCTGGCCCTCTAGTCTGTATTCTCTTATGCCAACGATCAACTGGAACTGGTTGTTAGTTGCTTCTGTAAATAGAACCTTCGATCTCTAGTTTGCCACAGTCCCTACCACTCCCTTATAACCACCTAGTCCACATTTTCATGTGTGATACCAGCCTGACCCCACAGGCCTGTGGTCATTCAAGCTCTACATGGCATTCTAACATCTGCCATCCCCCCCAACCCCCAATGGCCCTAGTCCTAATGCTGGCTTGAACTGGCTGTGACAGGAAGTAAGTAACAATGGCACCTATCTGGCCTTCAGTTATAACTTGGGCTAGCTATGCTCTGAAATAACTCCAACAGTGTCTTTTTTGCATGGCTTATGGAGAAGTCCCAAGTTCCCGTCACATCCCATATCTTGGCCATCTGACTGTGTGTGATCTGAGTCTGGGTAAATAATACCGGGAGTGTCCAGCGTTGTTCTCTCTGTGTTGCTATCCTTTGCATTGCACACTGGATGGTCCTTGTGACACAGGACACCTGGGAACAAGTAGGGCCTGGTGGCACCAGTTCTGGGAGGATTCCAATTCCCAACCCTTTGATCAAAGACTCTGACTTCCATCTGCCTCCTGTCATCTGTTGCAAGAGGCGTGGTGGAACGGGGAGGATTTGGAGTGTCCTATGCTGACACCGCTTTTCCTGTAGGGTACACGAGAGAGAATATATAGCCCAGCTGAGAACATTCTCCCTTAGCTACACACGTACACACGCCCGCACCTGCCTATGGGTCAGAGATAGCCTTCCTCGTGGGGCTTCACATCTACCCAGGATCTTACTGGGGCTTCTGAGATCAGATCGTTAGAGTCACGGGAGTATTGGAGATGGAAATGTGGGTGGTGCCTCGGACATAGATCACCTAAAACAGCAAGAGCAGATGGGTTTCACTTCACTTGCCGTTTTCCATCCGTTGGTATGTGGAAAAGGTGCCTGAAGCTCCCCATGGGCATCAGACCCCCAGATCTATCAGCAGTGCCTGCCACGGACCTGGCAAGGGGGGGAGAGCAGCACCAATGCCAGAAATCCCCAATCCTGGCACCCGCCAACCTCCTCCTCGTTAAACAGATGAGAAAACTGCTCTGGGAAGGGGAGGCAACTGGCCCAGAGTCCTGCAGCGAGGCAGAGGCAGAGGCAGACCCAGGAGCAGGGCCTCTCTTGATCTTGACACCCTCATTAGATCTGCTGTGTTTGCTCTGAGAAGAAAACGGACGAGGAAGGGAAATGACCAAAGCAAAACTGGGCCCTAGGAGTCCTGGGGAGCCTGGCGGAGGTGGAAGCTAAGGAATTCGGTTCTGTGCCACTAGACTGAGCCCTGCCAGCCTGTGCCGTTGGCTTCTGCTCCACTTCTCAGAGTCCCTTTGCTCCTGCCCCAGTTTCTTGTTTCATTTTCCTTGGGCACAGAGTGCACATCTGAGCAGAGGGGCCTCCAGGGACCCTAGGCCCTACATACCCTCTTTGGCAGCCTTCAGTAAGCTCCAAGCCCTAATGCAGGGGTTCTTAACCATACCAATGCCATGGACCCCTTGGCAATGTGGGGAAGCCTTTGAAGCCCTTCTCAGC